TTCGCGATTAGTTGCGGATATTCCTGTCCGTGAGCCCTTCTGAGTTAAAACCCCTCCTCTCAATGGCTTTTTTTTTTTTAATTTGTTAGAGAAAATTCTTTTGTGTCAGACATAGAAGATGACCGATTTTCTCTCTTTTTTTCTTTTTTTTTTTGGCAAGAGCAGCTTGTCATTTTATATTAATGAGGGGAAAAATCAGTTAAACTTGAGAGGGAAGCGTACGCAAGAGTAAAAGAAATGAAAGGGGCGAGAAGGTCTTAGGCGCAGAATTACAAATCAGCTGAGAGCAAGGTGGAGAATAAAAATCAAGAAGATGATGAGGATTGTGATGATAAAAAAAATATTTAGAAAGGGAGGGCTTTTTGGCTTAATGAGGAAGAGGAAAGGGAGAGAAGGGGGTTAGCTTCTTGTCACGATGTTTGCGTCCAGTGCATCCTCCCAGAGAGAGAGGTAAGTCTCTCGGTGTTGTTTTACGGACCGAGTCCACTCGTTGTACGAGGTGTGATCACAATGTTCCGGGACTGATTTTATAGGGTAAAGAGAAAGGTCAGCACAGTGATGCGCACGCAGCACTGTGCTCCGTGCGCATCTTGGTGTCTCGTTGCACTAAAGGGCGTCGCTTTGTGTGCATCTGGAGCTGCGTTACACGAGTCTTTGTGACCGCGTAAACGGGTACAATGGCGATTTCATCATAGACAGCAAACCAAAGTGAAAGCGAAAATAAAATCGGCGACAAACTCGTCAAATATAAAACAGAGACCTTCGAAATGATTCAGCAGGCGTTTGTCAAAAAAGCTGTGAATTTTGCGAAGCGTTTTAAGTGGTGCCCGCGCTTCAGGAACGGCAGAACATTGCTGCAAGACGAAGGGCGGTATACGGCGACCTCATCCGACCTCTCCTGGACTTCAGTGACGTTCTGCCATTCTTGAGGTGCGACTGCCACTCAAAACACTTTGCAGACCTCACAACTTTTTGCCATAATCCTTCGAAATCATTTCAAAGGGCTCTGTTCTAGATTTGCCAAGTTCTACATAAAATTTATGTTCGCTCTCGCCTTGAATTGCGGTCTATGGAGAGATCACCATTATGCTCGTGCATGTGGTCAAACATACTCGTGTAGCGCAGGTTCAAATGTTCATAGAGCGACGCCCCTTGGTATAACGAGACATGGAGGTCCCTTCCTTCGACTGTTGCGCGCGCATCACTGCGCTGCCCTTTCTTTTTCGGTAATAAAATCAGTCCAACAACTTTTTTATCACACCGTATGAGCGAATGTTGGTGCTTCTCCCGGCGAAAAATCAAATGCTGTAAATCCTGATTTAAATCATAATTTGTCATGATCTATATTGGAATGGATTGGGCTACGTTGCTTTAAATGAAAGACGTCTCCACAAAAATATATTGAAAATATTTTCTCTTTACCGTTCGGCTATCAGTGTCTGCTTCCCATGAGCATATTTTTCGTATTTAAAGCAAAGAACAATCAAGCACGAAAATTTTATATCGGGCAGCCATTAAAAAAAAAACTCATGTAATGATAAAAAAAAAGTCTGTCTTTTTTTAGATGAAGAGATTTAAGTCACGTAAGTTTGACCAAAATCAAACAAATCTCACTTACTCAATTCTTTAATAATTTTTTTTTTTTTTTTTTTTACTTTGGTTAAGAGAGATGATGCTCCAAGCTCGAAGAGGTTGACCACAAAAGTTTAGTATTACCCATTTGGAAGAAATAAAAATTTGTGCAATTGTACAATGGAGCAAGCGCACAGAGGCCAAAAACCTCGTCTTCAAAAGTTTTTATTTATTCAATTTTCAGTTGTGGCACTAGTTCCTTAATCATATCAAACGGCGCACCAGCTTTAACCAAGGCAGGGCGTATCTGCTAAGGCACAGATATACGAAAGTATAACCATTTCAAATCAATAAATGACAATTTCAGAATGCAGAAAAACTTAATTAGCGCCTGGGTATAAATTAATATGACGTGGCAAAGGTTCAGGGCAACATCAAATATACAGGATGGTGAACAGAAAGCGTTGATTCCTAATTCGGGATATCATCTCATAAGGTTAATGATACGCAGTACGTTCGCGAAGCCCGTGAAGGACTTGGAAATCTCGGGCCTGAATCAAAGACTGAGGTGAAAAACATAACTGATACATTTCTAGGATTCAATTCGATTATCTTCAGGAGCACGAATATTTATTGTAATATTTACAAACGGCCCTTCCTTCAGAATTCAGTCACTACAAAGTAGTGCACAAGTAATAATTCGAGATGTTAGGGGCAGTTCGAGTAACCGAGGTGTAATAGATTTATTGCCTTCGTTAAAGATGAACCAACTTGATCGTTCTCGGCACGCATAACAAAAGAATTGAAAGTCTAGTCGGACATCCCTTGCAGTTTCGTTGCAGGAACAGGTCTCCTTGCTCGCCGCTGCGATTCTCGCGTTGAGCTCCAAATCACCCCTACAGCATCGACTTACCTTTCTGCAGAATCATCACGTCGTACTCCCTACTGATGAAGACGAAATGATCAACCCATCGCGCACGGATAAATAAAAACGACAGGCGATTGCGTGAGACGTCTAAGCTCGTGACGAGAAACCTAAAAGCGAAGCAGCATAAAAATAAAGAGCACTTATAGTTCGTTGCAACTCAATATGGTAGGGCGATGGTAAGAAAGGCCGGAAAGGAGGAAGAAGACGGAACGTTGGAGAAGAGAGGGGGAAACCTCCTTCTCTCTTTAGCAGTCCGTTTGCTTCCTCCTCCCCGGCCCGTCTTACCCTCGCCCTACCTTCTTGAGTTGCTACGGGCAATAGTTCTCTCCCTGACCATGAAGCGTATCCAAAAGCAAGACATTGTCAATCTAATCGCTTTCCACCTCAACCTTCCCACTCCACATAAATCTCAAGTTTTAATTTTTTTTTTTTTTTATTTAGGCTTTAAATGTTGTGGCAAGTCAGAAACAGCCGTCTTGATCGTTATTGATTACTTCAGCAGTGTAAACCTCTTTCTGGCCAAAAAAAAAATAACCTCCTTGCGTCATAAAAAACATTCAAAGAAGAAGAAGCTAAAAAAAAAAATCTTTTATCTGCTTTATAAACGTTATTTTATGGAAAATTGCTGTACTGTGTTGGCCGAGTGATAGATAATATCGGGTTGGTTACCTTCCAGATTGCGACAGGAGTTTTGAGTGAGTGGTTTCCTCGAATTACTCGCTCTTTTCTTTTAAATCAGCTTTCGCTACGTGGGAACAGAGCATCTGTGTACAAAGGGAGTGTGCATAGGGTCTTGCATTGCACCCTTTCTCGGCTACATTACCTTGCACATCGTGACAGAGACATTTTTAGCCTTTTAGACGGTTCAAAAGTGGTTGAAGTTTCTAGATATGGTGACGAGTTTCTCGTGATTTTAGATTTTTCTAACTATGGACGTTAACCACTTGGTGTCAAATACATTGTATTTGGTGACTGCCTGGCCCCATTAGACTTGACACACGAGCTGTCTGCAAATGGGTCCATGCGTTTCCTCTACCTCAGTCTTCATTTTTCGTTTGTTAGCCGTTTTAACGTCGGGGACTAAAACCGCTTTTGGCTTACTAATTTGCCCATTTCAAATTAGTCAAAAGTGGTCTCGTAAATTTGTGCCTCACAAATGCCTTAAACAAGTCCTGTTCCCATTTAGCACAGCCAGTTTTGGAGCTCGAATTTCCCGTCTTCAGATGTTTCGAAGTATTAGGAACGTCTTCTGATCTCGCTTGCACTCCCTTTATTGAAGAAAATTAAAATAGAAGGCGATACAGATACGATAGACGCTCCCAAGGAAAAAAAAGAGACAAAATTGCTGTGGTTCCGTTTTTACATTAAAAAAAACTCTCATCACTTCAAGAAAATAGGAAGAAGGGTAGATATCACTGTTGTCTTCACTGCCCCCTAACAAGCTGTCTGCGCTTTTGTTGACACGTTAATCATACAGCTGGGGGGGGGGGGGGGGGGGGGGGGGGGGCTTTTCTGGATTGTACGAAGAAGCATCAAAATCGGTTTGTTGAGTGCACAAAAAAAAATGTATATTTCATTCCACTTTCCTGTGGAAAACAGTACACAGGGCAAACTGGCAGATGCCTGAACGACAAACTAAGGGAACACTATTTCAATGTAAACTGGGTGGTATCGTGGCACTTGGTTATTCACTGACGTGACTGTGGGTGTCCTGCCTATTTTTGAAGATTCTCAGTCATTGGAAGAAGCGGCAATGCTTTGACCGGAGAAATCATCGAAGCGGAGATGATTCCGCACCTAAAGGAAGAACGTGTAAGAATGCCATCTGTTTTGTTATCTGGGTAAAGAGTTAAAATAACTTCCTTCACGACAGTGACCTCGATAAGAGCTGCAGGAATCTACTGGTGTGTCATTGGGTGCGCGTCTTTTTTCTAGACTGGTCGTCGAATGTAAGGGCGCGCCTTGAGAGTTAAGCTTCAAGAGTAAGTTCAGCGATTGTGCGTCCCTTCTACTGACCTGTCTTCGTACGCTGTGTGTTTTAATCATGTAACAAAACGTTGTCCTAGAGAAATTTAGGACGTTTTCTTGTCGAAATAGAGAATGAGCGTTTCTCTACTCTACCTATCGAATCTTCTATTTTATCTCATATTCAGGTACGCGATAACTGAATAAATGCCACTAGTCGTATCAAACGAGGTCTTCATTGTAACGCCAATGGACGAACACCTAGGGGCGACTCAGTACAAGGCTTTGATTGACGTCACATCACCAGCCATCGTGGTGCCTTGCTGTTGAGCGTGTTGCTTCTCGAGAATAGCTTTGGCCCCAACAAATTTGTTTTGTTTTCTTGTTTTTTTCTCAGCAAAAATAAGTAGGAATGACCACGAGTCTGATGCAATGACGCCTCGTGCAAGCCATATAGAGAGCGTCAAAATGCAGCAATTAAGGCATACCGTAGCATATTGTAGCAAGCAATCAAGGAACGAGACGAGCAGCTGTGTTCCGGTCTGACTCCGTTTATTCGTCGCTGAGTAGTAGTTACACAGTCCGACACGAGTTTACGCACACAGAACCAAGTGGGGCATGTACGCACGTGACGTCGTCCTTCCAGGCGAACGCCGGGACGACCACAATACGGCGACACAAGCGACCCAGATGGCACACAAGACGAAATGCGGCGAGGCAACTCTCCGCTCAGCACGAAGTGCCCACACCGCTCTCTCACACGCACACACACACGCATACACTCGCGCACATATTCACACACGCACATGCACGCACGACGAGTAAGGGGTCCCCGACTACTGACCAGGAACGATGTCCGAGGAAAAAGAGGAGAATGGACATACGTGGCTATGGTACACAGAGGTTGATGAGGAATGAGTGACGTCTTCGTCGCCGCGAGGTCTGCAGCTCTGGCGTGCGCATACCCCTTATATATAAACTGAGGCAGCTCACACTGGAAGATGGGACCTATTCTTGTTCGCTCCTGACCAAAACCTTCGGCCATTATTTTTTTCTTGACCGGGGAAAGTTGAACAGTGTGCATTCTCAAGGGACGAAGCAGTAACCGGCACCGCTAAAAATTTCACCCAATATCCTTTTTCTTTTTCATTTAGTAAGGTAGTAACGAGATCACTTCTTGGAAAAAGGACTGTGTGAGTTTCTGAGTGGATTACAGAAATCTGTTTTTGGAGGTTAAGAACTGCGTTGTCTTGTCGGTAACCTTGTACTTTGCCCTCGTCTTCGCGCTGTTTTTGCTTTTATTATGTCTCTCTCTAGCCCAGACTTCAAGGTTATTCAAGAAATTCTGCCTCGCAGACTTGCATTTTTGTGAATACCCGCGCTGGGTCGATGTCCATTTGTTCTTCTTCTTACGCAATCGGGTCTCAGTCTTGAATATAGTAAATTCGGACTGAGACCGCAAATTCGAAGCTATCGTAGCGTGTTTTTAGTAAATCCTCATTGTAAGTACGCAATATTGGTAGGATCAATTTACGAGCACATGGGACGCAGCAAAGCTCTTTTTTTGTGTGTGACATTCTCTCTGTGCCAGTGCCGTCCACTAGTACGTCTCCAACCGTGATGGTATGCGCAAAAAGGGCAGGCTACTTTGTTTTTGTTTTCGTAAACATGGAGCTTAAGCAATCCAGATTTTTTTATCGCACCCATTTTCTATTAGATGCACCTTAATTTCTCAGTCTTCATAAAGCACGTTTATTGTCAGCTTGAACAATAGCTCTATCACGCATATTTCTCGTTCCTCGAGTAATGTGATCCCACGTTCTCTTTCATTTTTGTTTTAATCTAGTTTCTCTGAGCACTAAGCAGCTGCTTCCTACATCAACGTTTTGTTCTTAGAACTTTCAAGCAGCAAGCGGATCCTTGGTCTGCGAAATATTTTTGTGATAAAAAAAGCAAAAGGAATAAAACAATCTACATCACATCTATTCATTTCCCTTTGGCACGCTCAAGTTCTAGAAGCGATGCCATAACGAAAAAGTTAACCAGCTGTTCTTGGAACCTCAAATCATTTTAATTTCATCGCGCCGATTCCGCAGGTTCCTAACGCTCGAAGGGCTTCGAGCGCGTAGCTTAAAACATGCTTTGAAAAGCCGGCCCAAGCTGCTGACATTAATATCTTAGGGGTAATTAACGATATGCTAAAATTCGATCCTAGCTCCCTCGCTTGAAGACGCATTTACATATTCATACAGGCATAAGGTATAGGCACCGATGAAAACTTTTCAAACTGTTAACCGCTACCGAAAGCCTACAGCAATAGAGGCTGAGTCATCGGCGCACTGTAGAGCCGTTCATTAATTTCTTATGATAGTACTGAATTGTGTGAATAAACCAAAGTGGTACCCGATGCTTATTTAAAAGCTCTGCGGAAGTGTTCGAGAATGTGTTGGAATAAATAACGGCACTTCCAAGTAGCATTTGGAAGAAAACGGAGGCGAATAAGCTGTTCAACGCTTCGGTGTGTCCCAAAACGTCGCCGTAACTCCCCCCCCCCCCCCCCCCCTCCCCCTCTCCCTCTTTTTTTTTTTTCTTTTACTGTGGTTCTTGCGTGAGCGGAGCGCTTTCCTGGAACGGTGCCATCGAGCGCCATAAGTGTGCGACAGAACACAAAATATCTTTCCGCCCAGAAGCAGGACCTAAGTCACCTTGAGCTGCAAGCCATAATTCGACCCCGGCGACGTAAGAATAAATACCCCCATTCGAAAGGAAAATGAAATAAAGAAAACAAAAACCAAGGCTTTAACGACTGATGCGCGCTCTCTTAACTCTTCAAAGATGCATGCCGGAGTTACAATTAACGCATCCAGTCAATTACGCTTTTTTATTTATTTAAGATTTTTACAAGTTCTACTTTTGAATCGCCAATTCCTTTATTTTCTAGAGCCATCGTAGTTACGGCCAGGATGAGAACAGCAGAGAGGAGTCCGAAGTGTCCTACCTCCAGCGTGATCGTCGTGCCTTCGATAAAGCCTCAGCGTCTCGTAAGCGTCCAGCTTGCACGTGCAGCCAAAGCACCGCGGAAGGCAATGAGCACGTGCCGTAGGCCAGGCGCTCGAAAGACACGCCCTGCAGTTCTCACCTCGTCAATGACAGGACAAGAATTTCAATGAGACGACTTCAACTCTCCTGCCTCTGGTATACGAGCCCGCCACCTTTCGTTCCGTTTCGACTTGGCTCGTACACATCAAGAAGCTCACGTAAGGCCAGGACATCGGCCACGGTAGAAAGTTCGACCCGAAGGCAGCATCACTGAAAGGAACACCTGTCTTCCTCAAGCTGTCGATGAACGTATTTACCTCCCATTTTCGGCGACGTCACAGCTCGGTACAGGTGCAATGTGTCATTTATACTTTTCCGCTGACCTCCAGCTGAGGGAAGAATTCTTACTCAGGGATGAGAGCCAGTTGTTCTAAATCGCCACCGTGAGCTGCCTTACATACTCTGATTTTTCGGTGCTCAACGTGCACCAAAGCACGTGCAATCCAAGCACATGTGCAGCCGAAGCCACACGAAACCGAACGCTCAGCCCTCAATCGAGCCCCGCCAAGAAGAATGAGTCCTTGCGTTGTTGTCATCGGAGCTGCCCATAAGGAGACCGCGAACGAAGGTTTATCCTGACGTATGCATACGGACAGCATGCTGTGTTGGGTCGTAGGCTTAAAGGTCAACGTACAGTTCGCGCTTTCCACGTTTGCCCACCTCCTCCTTTCCTATATTCTCTCCACTTTGTGCCTTGCCCCGACACGGCTCCCCTCGCGGTTTAGGAGAGGAGGACTCTAAGAGGATTGTCTTCCCTGCAGAAAACCGAGGTTGTACGTCGGCCTTTACTCACGCCAGCGGAAGGAATTGGGGTCTGCCAACCGGTTCGGGAACATTTCAGATTTGGCACCTTTTAAGCACATGTACGCAGACGTTTGCCAAAGCGTCCGCCCCTGTGGAGACACACTCGACTGCTCATTGTTTTCCAGAAAGCGAAATAACGTTCCGCGGGGAAGAAGCGTGACAGCAAAAGGAAAGTAGTCGACCAAAACAATGCTAGTTTCGTGTTGTGCATTTCTGTCGCTTTCCCACGTGCTGCAATATATCCAAAGGGCGGGGAATTTTCATCAATGTGTAACGCAGCCACGTCGTATTCAAATGCGCAAGAGATGCAGGAAATTTCTGAAGATTTTTAAATCTACAGATCACACCGCTTAAAAAAAGAAAAGAAAAAAAAAGCTTTCTCTTCCTTGTTCCCTTTTTTTTTTTTTTTTTTTTTTCAAGGGGCAGAGGAGAATGCCAACATTCCCGAAGAAGGGAGAACGAAACACTTCTGAGTTTGCAACAAACCAAACGCTGTATAACCTCGCGGCGGTGCGTACAGTCGTCCACGGGAACATGACTTTCTGAAAACTCGCCAGGCTTTTTATTCAGAGGTAGTGAACCACTAAGAAGGCGTATAACTGTTTGCGTGGCACTGAAAATAAAGCAAATGAATGAACAAAAGGTGAACCCCGTTTGATCGTTTCTTTCGCCCAGCCTACATCATATCGTCGAAGGTACACGCCTGTCCGCGACTCGATATTGGCATTAACCGACCCCCCTTTGACCCTCCTCCACATACACGATAGCCTCATGAAAATGAAAGAAAAGAAATGAGAAAGCTAAACACATGCAAAGCCGTATCGGTGTCATCTTGGCGACCTCGGCATCATGTGTGTACGCCCGTTGCTAAGCGCTAACATTCGCAGCAAGATAGATAGAAAAAAATAACATCGAGGAACGCGAAGAATTAAAATATTGACATAGATAAATAAAAACGGAAAGCAAGAGAGAAGGAGAAGGAGGCAGGGAGATTGAGAGAGAAAGAGACGGGGAGAGAGATGGTGTGGACACGCACGCGAGCTGAATAGTATTATGTATAAAACGTGCCCTTCCAGGACGTTTAGTAGGCGGAGTTGGATCGGCGGCCATGCGTTATGCATGCTGTTCTGGGCTTCGCGCCCGTCGAGCTCGTTCTCACGCGCTGCGGCGGCGTTCATCCGTCATGCCGCCAGGCTCCTCCTCCCCTGGCCCGTCCGTTCTGAACCTGTTCCCTCCATTCCGGTCTTCTTCGCACTAAGTCTTCCTATTAAAGGCCCGACGGTAATTGCCGACCTACTTGGCTTAGCGAAAATGTCTGTTTCATCCGCCGCCACCGCCACCACGTTTTTGCGGCCCTTTATTAGTTTTTCGCGAGACCCGTCCTCACGGGTAAAAGCATGATAAGAATAGCAACGTTGTTGCCACCCCGACGCTTTTCTTTTTCAAGGTCCCTTTGGATTTTTTTTTCTTTTTTTTTTCTCTCGTTTTATGGCAAATTTAACTGGCAGATTTGGAGGTATCCAAAACTGCTCCATGCTCGCGCGTTTAGAGCTGGGAATGCTAGCTCGCGTTTGCACGTGCGTAAAGATACCGAGAAAAAAAGCGTTTCGTAACCGCTCCAAGTCTACCTGCGGAACTCGCCACTAGTTTTTATGGCTGGTGTCGGTGCTGTCCGGTGTGAAATACGACGTATCTAAACAAAGACATACGTGACTTTCCTATTTTTATTAGTTTTTCGTGTTTTCATCCACAGGCTTTGTCTTGGTCAGGTTCTCCTCGAAGAAGGATTCATGGGCTACAGAAAGCGATATTAATCTGCACGGGTTGATTCGCTTTTAAACAAAGCAGAAAAACAAATTAGGTGCGTTCAAACATATGTTCTTTAGTATCGTAAGTCGTTCTGCAGCAACGCTACGATTCGAAGAGGCCAATAAATTAGCTTAAGATAAGTAATTGTCCCTTAGCATGCCGAAGTATAGTGAAGCCTCTTGAATTCCAAAACTGGGTAAAGCCCCTCTTACTCTGTTCGTATTACTCAGCGTGAGTATGGAGCTTCTCAGTTGTACCTCGACAAGCAGTCCGATCAGAAAGAAAGAAACAAAAGATAATGGCGACGAGAGATTGGCAGAAATAAACGGAAACGGGAAGAAAGTTAATTACAAGCACGGTAGGAAGAGTAAAGCAGAAACTCGAGATTTCAAGATGACTTCGAGTCCAGTTCATCGTTCAATAAACCCTTTTCATCCAATTCAGTCCTTTTCTGATCTCGTGCAAAAGCGGTTTCGCTAGCCATAAACAATGAGCAGCCGGTGTGAAACACAGGTCAACGCGAGGGCACTCACAAAGGGGTTGAGGGAGGCAAGCTCCTTCGGGCTCAACTGTCACCCTGTGCGGAACGAGTGTCCGCACCGAGAAAGAAGACGAGAACACTTTCGATCTACACCACACACTACACCAGCAGTCAAGGATACACATACGCTCTGTACACATGAGAGATGAGGGGATGTCTCAGACTAGAGTCCCTTGATAACACCCGGGGCAGCGATGCCATTGAAAAATCTTCCGTGAGTCGCTCTGTTCTACAACGGTGTAACCATGCACGGGAACAAAAACACCATCGTCCTGGCGCTCTCAAGCAGTGCAGAATGCAGAAACAGGAATTATAAAATTCGTAAAACAAAGCGGATAAAAAAAATGCGAGGGGTCTGCGTGTAGGTTACGTCTAACCATAGCCTCCTCTATACTCACAAAGCCTGGCAGTTCGATGACGGAGCCATGGAGTGCCCGGTCGAAGATTTGGAGCGCGAGGATCTGGTAGCACAGAACATTTCTCGGGGAACTTGTAGTCAGCGCACAGCTTTTGCAGCGGTGAGGACCCGAAACATAGTTTTCAAACCCGACGAGAAAAAAAGGCGGTACCCTAGGAACGCGAGAAGCACGAGCGGACATTCCATCGCTCGGGACAACTGTGTTTCGGCGTCTCGCCGCAGCGGGGCGCCCGTTACGTGCCTCTTGTCTACCGGCCTACTTTTTCACTTTAGGCGGCCGCGTCTCGTGGCGATCTGCCAGTCTTTGTCAGTATAGAGGAGGCTATGGTGTAACACAAGTGTTCACTTGGTACTTGGCGCAATAAAAAGGTTGTGTCAAGCAAAGTACTAAGTGCTTCCGCATTCTATGGCTGGTTATCTAACTACTCGCACCGGAACGAGGCTGACAAGGCAGCTGCGCTAAACAGAAAATAAAAAGTGTTATTTTCTAAAACTTGCTAAATCAATTCTTGATGTCCGTGGTAGAACGTCCTATGTCGCCCTCTGCATGTTTTCCTTACAAAAAAAAAAAAAAACAAATAAGAAGAAAAAAAAAACGATTGCGTTTAAGATAGTGTTGGTGGTACTGAAGCCACCTGGTAACCTCTAACATCTTTTTTTTTCACCTCTCTCAAAATCTGAACCTTATGTTACGTCTAGAAAATCTACGATAGTCTAGAATATCTACGATAGTCGTTTAAAGGCGCTGATTAAAGGGATCACCACTGAAAAAAATCATATGTGAACCCCGCCGCCAGAGCACGACATTCCTACAGTGGGCGCAGTATGTGTATCAACTCGTACTGAACAAAGTCACTATGCCGGCGTGCTTAAAGAACAAATGCATGTATGGCCGATACTCTTTTAATGCGAGGTAAGAGAGGTGAAAATGTGTAATTAGCGGATTTTCCTTTTTCTTCCAATATATGCAGCCTAAATCCATTGATTCGGAGCTTGATGGACTGGCAAAGATAATGTTAGAAAACTGTCGACACTTAGAAAAAACAAATGAACACAGCTTTGAATCCGGTTTACTCCATTGTGTCTCGTCCCAGTCTGAGATCCCTATCTTCACGAACTTTTTATTACTAAGTACATCTGCTTTCTTTCAATAAATGTACGTGCACTTGAAATCGAAAAAAAAAATTCTTGCGTTATTTTACTGAATAGATCTGGCCTAACGGCTGCTTTCGAGGCAGCAATCACCAATTAAATCATGTATTGGGTAGACAAGCGCGAGTGAGTTTATAGTTTCCTTCGTAGCCATTCGGCTCAATCAAACAAAACAATGGATGGCGCGCGCCCGTTCAAAACAACAGTAATAGCTCATGGCCGCGCTGCCCTGGGATAGTTCGTTTTCACGGCTCTAGTTCACGCAAGGAACAGTGTCACCGCCGCCACTTGAGGGCGGGGAAAGAAACAGTAGCTACTCCATGGACCGAGTTACGGGAGGATGAAGGCAGGGATGGTTGGGGAACTAAATTACACGGGCCGAACAGGAGGTAGTGGTCGGCGGGGATGTCGAGACTTACTCGGGGAGAGTGGCTTGACTCACAGACACGGCGAGGAGCGCCTCCGTAAAGGCTCCAGCGCTACTCGGCCACCCCACGGGGTCACCGCTCTCTATGTACAGTGGGTGAGCGTCTTTGTTTCGGCGTCGCGTGTCCGGCAGGATCCGTGGCGAGACTCTGCCCGCACAGCTCGGCCGACGGCGCACGCGACGGCGACACGGTCCAGTCCACGGCGTCTTCTTGACGTCGGTCGAGTTCGAAGAGGGCTCGAAGGGAGTCGCTCGCGCACGCTCACCCGAGGAGTCTCACAGCGGGGCTTCGCGCACTCGTCGTTCGAAACGTTCGCGCGGCACAAGCACACACAAACACAGCGGGGGAAGGAAGTCAGAGGCCGCGCACGACAGGCGATGGCATGGGGGAACCAGGGGATGATGATTTCCGCGTCGATCGTCGTTGTTTTGAGTCTTTGTGGCTCAGCACAGCAGCTACTTGGCCGCCACGACGGCGGCGTTGTGGTGGCTGTTGGCGGCGCTGTTGCTCTCGGAGTTCTGACGCTGACTGTTCTTCTTGCTCTTCATGCGGCGGTTTTGGAACCAGATCTTCACTTGGCGTTCGGTGAGGTTGAGGTTTCGCGCCAGCTCCCAGCGCTTCTGCTTGGACACGTACGCGTTGAAGAGGAACTCCTTCTCCAGTTCCAGGGTCTGGAACTTAGAGTAAGGTTTACGCTTCTTGCGCACCGTCACGTTGCCCGTCCACTCCAGCGGGTTGGGCGTCAGCGACTCGGTCACCGCCGGCACTGCGCCGCGCCACCAGGGCACGCCAGGGGGGGAGCGAGGGGAAGGGGAGCAAAAAATCAGCATCCGAACGCACCACGACACACACACAAATCAACGAACGTGCGAGAACACACAGACACTCGGAGAAAAATTTTCTATGTGCGATATAGTCAATTACACTCCATCTCGGCCCCAAGTCAGAATGAGTCCCTTAAGAGTGTAAACGATCGTTTCACTCTTTCCCGAATACCCTCCGTTGGGAATATTACCGGGTACATAAGAAAGCGCCGACCGGATCGACAGAGGCCACAACGTTTCGTCTTCAGAGCACTGCGCAGCGTTATGGCTTTTATTCTGCAAGCGTTCGTCAAAACTTGAAAGCAAGGATTTTTGCAGCGCAAAGCCCTCGCGTGGCCTCCTAAAGCTACAATATCAAAGCTTGAAATATCGCTTTCGAGTTCCCTGAAGGCGCATTTGGTGCGACCAGTGTCCGTAACGGAAGAATAGCAGAGTTAAACGTTCGCGAAGGACAGTGATGTTAAGCTTAAAGGGAAACTGAAGCGGTTTTCTATTTGAGAAAAAACATTTCAATGGCCTTCATTCTACCTTCAGGATGAGGAATATCAAGATTATTTTTCAATTTGGTGCACGGAGGCTTCACAAATTAATTTTTAAAGTACCGCCGAAGCCCCTCCTTCCCGGGGCGTGACGTCACACTAGGAGCCTTCGGAATATCTGCTCTCGCGCATCTTCAAAGCTATGCATGCGCACTCTTGCTATTTTCAGAAAGGTCAGAAAGAGACCTCACGACTGGTGTCAGTGCGGGGAAATATATCTGGCAAGCTTGCGTTGCACGCGCTGAACACACGAGCGACACGCGCTTGGCGGCCCGAAGATCCTAGTATGACGTCACGACTGGTCGAATGTTTTTTCGCTTTTTCTCGCTTTTAGTTGCATATTCAGGGAAAACAAAAGTGATATTCAGATTCACAGGATAAAAATATGCCAGAATTCACCTCTAACTCGTTTTTTTCAAGAAGTGTTTCAGCTTCCCTTTAAGGACGGTTAAAGTTGGCCACTCTGTGCTTAGGCTAAGAGAAAGGGGACAGACATGTATACGGCAATCGATGGGACCAAGAGCAGAGCTATTGTGAAACCAAATTCTATTTAGAGATTTAAAACCTCTCACTCTGGTCAAGCGTACGGATCACAACTATAATGTGTTATGCTATAGTATAGTAAGTCTGTTCAGTGTATTTTGCTTGTCTCTTGTGTTTCTAAGCAGCTTGTGTAATACTTCACGGACTGTCTGTCCTCACACGTAAGCACGAAAGTATTTCCATGCGAAATAATGCACTGTATAATTTGGAAAAAAAAAAACTGCATGAAAGTTATTATTATTATACTATTATTATTTTTATAATAATAATAATTATCATCATCATCATCATCATCATCATCATCATCATCATTATTATTATTATTATTATTATTATTATTATTATTATTATTAAATCACTACGGCTTCCGCCTATAAACAACTATCAGCAGAGTGTCATGCCCGACTGTTGCAAGACCTTATGAACTAGCTGCACGTTGTTACTGGATAATCGACGTATTTCAGGAGTTGTGAAGTCGAAATATGCGTTTCGTATACCCCCATTGTCCTCTACCTCCAATTGTGTATACCGGACACACATTTCGATTTCGCAACTCCTGAAATCCGTTGATAATTCAACAGCGCGGTACAGCCGGCTCAAATGGTCTTATGACAAGTACTCCGTTAATGCTATTATACTAGTGGCGACCCGAAGTGATCAGCCCCATCATAAAACCTATTTTTGCTTCCAATTTATTTCCACACTTTTCTTGTGGCTGGTAATATTCAATTGTGAATATTGAATATTGACTTTTCTTCTGGTTGTGCGAGGTATTTCGGGCGCGGGCAGGTTTGGAGAAAAAAAAAAAGATAGGCGACGACCACGAGTCCGCTTCAATTTCTACGTGAAATCGCTCAGTAAGCAGCTCGCCTTAAATTGTCCAACTGTGTGTCAATACTTTGAGATATATATATATATATATATATATATATATATAATCACACTGATAAGTACTATTTGCACAGATCGTACGATTACAATCACTCATAACTGGAATAAATTTTAAAAAATTAAATGAGAAAAATAAAGAAAATTAAAGCATCTCTTGGGCACGTGTGTGTAAACCGACGGTGAAGCACATGAGGTGTGATCAAAAAGTTGGGATACTAGGTTTGTAGCATAAAGAGAGAGGGGGCAGCACAGTGATGCGAGCGCAGCAGTCGAAGGACCTTCGTGTCCCGTTATAACAAAGGGCGTCACTCTGTGAACATTTGGAGCGTCGCTACACGAGCTTTTGTGACCACGTACTCGGGCACAATGGCGATTTCATCGTAGACTGCAAACCAGAACGAGAGCAAACATCAGTTCTGCATCAACCACGGCAAATTAAGAACATAGACCTTCAAAATGATTCAGCAAGCTTGTGTCAAAAAGCAGTGACTTTTGCGAAGAGTTTTAACTAGCATTCGCGCATCCGAAAAGGCCAAACATCACTGGAAGACAAAGAGCGGTAGGGAGACCTTATCCGACCTCTCCTTGACTTCAGTGACGTTCTGTCATTTTTGAGGCGCGAGTGCCACTCAAAACGCATCGAACACCTGACTGCTTCTTAACATAAGCCTTCTAAATTATTTCAGAGGTATCTGCTTTAGGTTTGCCGAGCTTCACGTAAAAGTGATGTCCGCCCTCGCTCTGGTTTGCAATCTCTGGTGAAATCGCCATTGTGTCCGCTCTTTGCTGCCCTATCTCTTTACAGTACAAAATCAATCTCGGAACGTTTTTATCATACCTCGTAGATGTAACACAACGTAAAGACAAATACTGCAAAAAAAAACAAAAACAAGTTTTTCGCGCCTTAGAATGTTTGCGAATCGGGCAGCGGGGTCATGTTCGCGACCAATTAAGTTTCGCGAATTCTAAGGGCTGGAATCGGCCTCTTTATACAAGAGAAATATTCGCACCCTCTGAAATTTCTGAATTCTTCAAGCCGCGAAATTCGCGAGAATTAGGGGGCTTGCGAAATGTTGGGGGCTTTACCTTACGTCGGCCCTAGAGAGAAGGGTTCCACTTCCTCACGGAAAAAACAAAATATGCGAATAGTATGCTTATCATTTACTCCAGTTAAGTATGATTGTGACTCCATGCAAATCGCACGCGAAAGGCTTTTTTTTTTTTTTCACTTTCTTCTTTGTGGTGTGGACAAGGTGGGGGCAGTGCAATCTATTGAAAAAGATTGGAAATTGACTGCTGCCTGCCTGTGCAACTATTGGCGACGCGATGTTTTGGTGGCGCCACCTTGCGGGCTGGTAGGATGCGAGCAGACGACGCCCTGCACGGAGTGGCTATGTTAGTTCGCTTCGCACCGATACCGAATAAAAACGGTTTATTTGTTAAATAAACCTGTAAGACGTTTTTGTCAATGGTTTTTCTAATGAATAACAGCGCCTCAAAGTTGCTTCTTATATTAAAAAAAAAAAAGCTTTAAAATGTTGAAAAACAAGCCTGGAGCTTCACATAACAGCTCGAGCGGCGTGCGTCAGTGCTAATAACAGCCCCTCTGATTCTTCTTTTTTTTTTTTTTTTTTTGATTTGTGGAGGCTGCTCTGAAAAAAAGGTTTTGCGTTCACCAGAGTAAATGGCGTACTGTATTCTAAGGTGTGCAAGCGCGCAAAGTTTTTTCGCAAAGCGCCGCACGCTTGTTTTAGTTAGGTCGAGCTTGCCGATACCGATGGTTCTATCCAAATGTGATTCAACAGTTGCTGACGAGCAAATGCCGGTCAGCAACTGACGCTCAGTTCCTCTCGCATGGAATACGTGGCAAAGAAGTTTGTCACTTCGCGACTTTTGCTCGAAAGAAAAAGAGACATATTCGTAAATTCTTAAATTGTTGGACATGGCCCGGCAAATTCAGGCGATTGATTAATTTGTTCCATCCAATTTTTACTAAGAATTGTTTACAAATTTAAAGTCGCTCGCTGAGAAGGGCATCACGCATTATGAGCATTTGGTTCCGCAAAATTAAACATACAAACGTTAGTAATTCATAGCAGGTGTATATACCTCGGTTTTTGGGACGCTGAAGTGTCACCAACTCACTAGATTTAAAACTCTGATCACGAGGGGAGCTGGCACGTTTCGCGTCGACCGGGAGAAGAAACAAGGATTTAATTGAAACGACTCCGGAAGCTAGCCACTGCTTCTTGCTGCCAGTTATTTTGAGGATGTTCGTTCACCGGTTTACAAAATTCAAAAAGGAATCAACTTGGCACTAGTAAGAGAACAGCACTCACAGAACACATTGGAACCAACAGGATACACGGAGTCGCTTTCACTGAAGTGTTTACTACACGCGCGAGAGGTTCTCGAATTTCGCTTTCCTATTTTTAATTTATAAAACATTCCTTTCTCAATTTTATTTCGTCCGAATCATAATTTTAAAAAAAAAATACACCCTATTCACCGAGGTAGATGTTATAGGGAAGTTAAAGAGCTGGATATTATATTTTCATTATCCAGCTTTATTTACTGTAATAGAGAACAGCACACCACCATCCGAGCACTTCGACGCCTCAGGCGCCAAAAGTGTCTGTTGGCACGACTAGTACGCGTGCCACGGTTTCAAGTTTTGGTAAAATGTCCCAATATACAAATATAACTTCACCAAATAAACAGAACACATGAAACATGTTTTGCCGCGCGTCACCCAAACAGCGCATGAAGCGAGCTGACGAGCCGAGGGATTCAAGATCTGGGCGGTTTGACCCAGTTGGTCCTACCCATGACGTCACAAACGTTAATGATGATGATAGCTGGAGGAGCGCCCCCTGTAGCTCGCGCACGCCGCCAATACTCCGTTTTTGAGAGCAGCCAGTGCTACGACCCGATGCAGCCAATCAAGCAGTGCCAAAAGTGCGTGGTCA